CCTATTTCCCCCCTACCAAACCCTACTTGTCCTTCAGTAGTTGACTACTCTGTTCAGCCTTTCCTATGAAGTCTGTTTCAGATGTCCCACTTCTTCTGAAGGTCTTAACCCCTATTGGTTTCCACTATTCATTTAGGTATTTAAACACCACTGCCATATTTGTTGCTCCTGAAATGCTTGCCAGGTACACCCTGTCTCACTAGGCTAATGTTAAACTCTGAATAGAGGAGATACATCTTACCTTTTCATTATACCACTCGGAGTTCTTTAGAGTAATACGCACATCACAGACACAAAAGTATCATGCAGAAAGACTGGGTGGATGTCTAGATCAGTGGCTCTCAACTGGGAACATTTCCCATCCCCACCAGAGGAGATTTCCCCATGTTTGGAGACAGTTTGGGCTGTCATTTGGTTTTCAGGTTTGGTTGTCTCAGCTAGATGCCAGAGCTTGTGCTATCAGTATTTAGTAGGTTAGGCAAGGACACTGCTAAACATCCTACCCCCCTCCCCAAAGAACAATGTAGCCCAAAGTTTAATGTGCACTGTTAAGATACTCTTATATACATCATAGTGTCTTTGTAACTCAGTGCCACAACTTATTTTCCCAGCCAGAGCTCATTCTCCATCCTTCTGCTTCTGTCCAAGCAACTTCTCTAAAAACGAACATTGACCATATTACTTCTCTGGTTACGTTAGTGGCTGTTCACCAACTTGGACAAAAACATTCAAGATTTTTTTGAGAGAATTTTTTTCTAAAGGGCATGTACACTTGCCAGGTAGACTGAAAGTAAGAAGTCACCCCTTGGGGGGATGGCCACACTGCAATCCCTTCACCTCCATTCTCCTCTCAGGATTTGGGCATGCATGCACATGCGCTTGGCATGAGTTTCAAGGCTCTGGGTCTGGGACTTAAACCATGGTCAGTCATATATAGGAGTGCAGTGGTTAACCACTAGGCCACCTGTTGGCTCCAACATTCAAGTTTTTAAACCAGGAAATATAATAAATAAATGTTTTAAAAATATAGTAAATAAACTTTATTTATCTGTTCTTCTGGGGGACATTGCCAATAATAACAGATTTGCATACAATAGTTATGTATTGACTATTTACAATTTACAGTACCTTTTTTTTCTTCTGAAAAATATACTTACAGAAGCTAAGTAAACAATGAGATACTGCCATTTGGGATTCATCATACGTTATAGCATAAAGAACTAGTCTTTAGCAAATATCCAACAGATCAATCTGGAGAAAACACTCAATTAAGTGCTCTAATTTTATAGGAAAAATGTTTCATCTCCAGACATATTGCACAAGTCTTTAAAAAAAAAAAACTTAAATAGGAGAGGCAAGCAGTTTTTTAGCATGAGGGACAAAAGAGACAGAAAGACTG